ATTCTCTAGAACTTGTGCTTTAATAGTTTTAATGCGCTCAACTGATAATTTTTCGAAAGTCGCCTCGAAGAAACCCGCTGTGATTTAAGTTGCAACAAATCAAGCCACAAACACTGCATAGGGACATGGCCCAGTGAACTGTAACCAATGCTCACCCAAAACATTGAAAAGAATGTTTCACATTTGAATACGTTGAAGAAAGCATCAGATATGATGAAACAAGCTCACTTATAACTATTGCTGTGCTCTTTAAGTGGAAAAACTGCTCTAGACAGCAAATTATCTGTTAAGTGAAAAATTTTCCTCAATGCGTCATGGTTTGATTACGTTATCGTGCCTTGCAAACCATTGATAGAGTCGATTGACGGTCGCTATATCTAGAAATCGTGCTCACGAACGCCAGATATGAGCTCTTCGACAATCTGTTTTCTTGAGTTGGAACGCCGCATGGCTTACGGGACAACAAAATTTGAGTGACGTTATTATGACGTTATAGATGCCAAGGTGACTTTGAAACATTCTTTCCGAAGTACTCTACCCTATTTTCTCGGGCGTGCAGCTAAAAAAATAGAAGAGCTTGGGTCATAGGAAGCGCAGGATTATAAACAGTACCGGAAGGCCATCAAGATGGCTATTTCGGTTCAAACCCCATATGAATGTGGAACATTTGCTTTAACGTGTTTTCCCAATTCTTTCGCCGCAGGCACCCGGAACAAAATCTCCCAGCTTCATTCACTTCGTAGATGTTAAGCGGCAGGTATTGACTGAAGAGAATCCAACAAAAGAGTCGTTCATAAAAATAATGCACGAATGCCAGGCATTCGCACCTGCCACAGATCAAAACTCCAAGAAATTTGCGACCAACGACCACCTAAATATGAATATTGCCGCGTGCTGCTTTTCCGCCACGCAGGGACACCAGCAAGAGCAACACAATTTAAAATGGCACCTCATATTTAAGTCCCAAAATATTGGATTGAGATTCAAGATAGGTATGTAGGCACTGAAAATCTCTGTGCAGATTGTGAGATTTCATTTAAAGGGGTCAGATGGTGGGACTTCATTTAATCAGGTAAGTGTTTCCAAAATATAGCCAGGGACATCTTGTACTAAGAGCAAATACGCACACTGTTATAATATATATATATATATATATATATATATATATATATATATGGGGGGTGGGTGGGTGTGGGTGTGGGCACCCGCGTGTGTGCGTGTATGCGTGCGTGCGTGCGTGCGGGTGTGTGTGTGGTGTTTGATTTTGTCGGCTCAAGTTGGACCTTATCTCTTTGTCTTGGCGCTGTTCGATAAGCCATTGTTTACGAGCAGTTGCTTGCATCGTTGAAATTCGTGTGCGTGCCGGACCAGCTGGAGCAATATTTTAGAGCGTCTCGTGCAAACCAACGGATGACGGCCGTGCGGTAACGCTCTGGACATTCTCTAGACGCGTTCATACATCTGCCAGCATCGGTAGGTTTATGGTGCACAATCGTCACAGAGGGCCCATTATTCACATCTACATCGATGTCAAGAATTGATAAACGACTATTGACACTCAGGTCAGTTGGGAATCTTCACATAGGCTGCCACTGCATGGCGGCCTGCAGTTGGTGGAGGTGGGCCCCGTCTCTGACATCAACAAGCATGTTATCGACATATCTGCAGTACACCTGTGGTTTGCATTCAGGGATTGTTTGAGGACATGTGCTGGCTGGAGAACCATCTCTGGTTTGGACCAGCACATCAGGGAATGGAAGTTTGTTGTCCAAACCGGTATCGTAACTGCTTTAAGCTTGAAATATAACTTCGAAGACACCGGTTTGTAACCTCAGTGTACGTCGATATTCCCTAAAATGCCGACAGCGAATGTCCAGATTGGTACAAAAGTGTCACCAGAGCCCTTAAACGCAGAACGTTTCGAAAGTGTTCGTGGATTCTTTTGTAATCAGAGCCCATGAGAGTAAAACGGGCCCTCAACAACGGATATTTGAATTCATAAGTGAATGAACCAACCCATCACCAACTGAAACGGGAACAGGAGCGGCAAAAATATTCCAATAGATAAGAGACACCAAGAAAACCAAATCAGACTTTTCAAATATTAGAAATAAAAAGGCTGCCCATAAAGTAAACGGACATTAACGGCTAGCTTCCAATTCTTTGCGGTCTGTTGCAACGACTAACTTCCAATTATTTGCCCTTTGCGCATCCGCTCGCTTTGTATGCGCCCACTCATTGTCCGTACTCGTGATCCTGCAATGTCATCAAGAGCGCTAGATTACCTGCGGCGAACCTGTCATTGTGCTCATCTGCCGTCAGGCTAGCCTGTGGCGAACCTGTCACTGTGCTCATCTGCCGTCAGGCTAGCCTGTGGCGAACCTGTCACTGTGCTCATCTGCCGTCAGGCTAGCCTGTGCACGCGCTCTACAATGTCATCGTAAACTGCGCTGGAACGCTGTGGGGCCAGTACGCGCGAGCGCAGAGGTCGCCCGGCAGCAGTCCGTCGGCGCTCGTAAGCTGACGCATGCTGAATACGACCCCTAGTACGTCAGCTGGGATCCGACCACGATCAGGACCGCGACTCGCACTCGTGTATCACAACGCGAGCGAGCCCGACTGTCGCTGTGGCCTGAATACAAGTCACCCTCCTCTGATGGATTGCGAGAAGAACGCAGACACCCATGGTGAAGCGTTACAGAGACCTCATTCGGCAAATCATCAGCGAAAACATAACAAGCAAAAACAAAACTGGAATCTCCTAATACGTAATAACAAACAGCAAGAGCAAGATCAACTGGAGAAAAGCAAGCTGTTTACCAAGATGTTTGCCTTAATAACGAGTGCAACCTTCACAACATAAGATACATCGCCGTTACAGTGTCTCTATCCAGACGTTTGTTTAACCGTGCGCCGACGAAGAGCCATTCTAAAGCACATGAAAAAAGAACACCACAGATAAGTCTCCCGAAGAGGCCTTACCGAAAATACCGACGTCGTAAGAACCTGTCATGAACAGCTCATGCTTTAATGCTTACGATATTCTATCCCTCAACATTAGGGAAGCCACTTAATCACTCAATAAGCAAATAAAGTCGTGTGCTACTTGAACGTCATGCAGATGACCATAACTTATACAAGGAGCGAGAGGGAGGCATTGTTTGTTCTAGAATGAGCCGTTCTTTTTCTTTTGTCATGCCATGAGTTATCATCATAAAAATGGGCTATGTAAGCAGAACGTGTGATTCGTCGGGACAAAGATGTCCCGGTTTTTGCCTCGATACCGAATGACACATCATGGCATGACACTGATCAACAGCACCATTGTTTTTTGGAAGACAACCTTGTACCCACTTAGATTCGATGGTCCCTCATAAAGGACAGCGTGTTCGTTAGCGGTGGAATGTTCAAACAGCTACCGTGATCAGGGCCATTATGAACGGGATCTGCCAATGGTTGACAGGGTGTATGTATTGGCTGTCGTCCGTGTGCGTGGTGCAGAGAGGTGCAGTTGGGCGCCCGGCCATGTTCTAGGCATGAATGGCGTGAAATTGACAGTTGAACAGGGTGACGGCAGAATCATTTTCAGGCATGCCGATCAGGTCTGGAGGCACTACAGCGCTGATCCCGTGCCGCGTATCCCCAAGGCGCCGCAAGCCATTCCTTTCAGGCAGGACGGGCCATTGATGTCACCACCAGTTAATCAGTTGTTATGAACGGGATCCATCAGTTAACCACTCCACGTCTGGGAAACCAGAAGTACGGGGTTCGATTCCCCGCGGTGCCCTACCTTCCTGCCAGGGTGAGAGGCACGCGACGCCATATAGCCTCAGCAACTGTGTCGTAAAGCCCCAATGACGACGGCGACCATGTCACCATCAGCCCAGGATTCCGTGCCTACACCACCACTGCCCACAGTGCCGCCGCCCACTGCCGTGCCCACACCACCACTGTTCACATTGCCGCTGCCCACTGCTGTGCCCACACCACCACTGTCCACAGTGTCGCTGCCCACTGCTGTGCCTACACCACCACTGTCCACAGTGCCGCTGCCCACTGCCGTGCTGAGGTCCGCGCCGGATCCTGGCCTGGATGGCGGCTCTCCGGCGAAGGACTCGGACAACGCCTACCCCAGCGTAATCCCGCACATTACGGATGCACCCACGCCTCCCAGATATAGCCTCAGGAACCGGGCCAACGTGCTACCTCCAGACCGGTATTGCAATTAAGAAAGGCTGTGTTGTTTGGGGACCGCGCGTCATCATCCCGCCGCAGAGTCGAGCCAGTGTGCTCAAACTTTTGCACAAGGGGAATCCGGGAGGATGCCGCGCGAAGATGTTGGCCCGAATGTACCTCCGGTGGGCAAAACCAGATGGTGACATCCGCGACGTGGTCTGATCGTGTGAGACATCGCGGATGTTCAAGGGCAAAGTTCAAGCAAAGCTGATTCCCATGGCAGTAGCTGATACAACCCCACGAGCGCAGCTGATATGACCCCACGAGCCATTAAATTGCAATGTCCGATGATGTACGACAAATGTAAGATTAACGTGCGTTTTGTTAGCGCTGCATTGTTGCGTTGGTGCATTGTCTTCTCCTTATAGCCGTGGCTTGTGACCAGGGCGGAGGAGCATTGTGTTGTGGTGCCCAGCGCTGGTGCCGGGAGACCGGGCTCGCCCGCTGCACGGTCGCTGTGCACACGACCAGTGAGTTTGCAGCCTCGGAGCGCCGTATCAATGTCCGGAGACCGCTTGACTAAACACACCGTCTGGACCAGAGCTTTGTGTCTATAACACACCCATGGCTGCTGCTAGCCTAGCGTACAGTCCGCACGATATTGCCCCTATCATCACTCCGCCCCGCCCCATTGGGCCGGCCTATGTACCGTGCACAGTGAAGCTGGCGCCCAGCCAACCTGCGGGGAATGCCCGCCCGTTCCCCCGCTCCCATCAGTCGGTGGCGACGCCTGGCGACGGCGGCCTGTGTCCGGCGAACGGGCG